GTTGCCACCGCTCGAAAGACCAATGCTCCCATGGTCAAGACGCCCAACCCATCGCATTTGCGCATGCGCATGTGTGTGTGTGTGTGTGTGTGTGTGTTAAATTGTCAGATGATTTGTGCCATTTTTTTTTTTGGACTGAGCGGGTGTCATGGCTGGGAGGGGAGTGGGGGGTGGTTGGCGCGGTGGGAAGGTCGCACGTCTCCTGCTGCTGCGCTTTGTGCTGCTATTTGAGGTGGTGGTGGTCCTTTTCCGTGCGCAGGACGAGGTTGTGGCAGCCACGGCGGGTGTCGAGGTTGACGCAAAGCAGCCCACCGACGGTGATCGCGCGCGCGTCGCCGATCCCCGCACCTGGCAGGCCACGCCCTTACTGTCGACTTTGGATGGTGTACAAGCTGCTGCGGCTGTAGACATAGATCTGGATGGTGACCCAGATGTTGTGGCTGTTAGCAAGGCCAACAATCGGGTCGCATGGTTTCGAAACGACGGGCATGCGCGATTTTCCGAGCCCATTATTATCGGCGAAGCGGCACGTAGCGTACGTGCCGTGGCTGTGGCTGACCTGAATGGTGATGCTTGGCCAGACATTGCAGTCGCCTGCTTTTCGAGCAACAGCATTCTCTGGTATGCCGCCCACGGCCTGGGCCGCTTTGCTGAGGCTCGTGTAGCTGTGGCAAACTTGGGTGGTCTGATTGACGTGGTCGCGGGCGATCTTGACCACGACGGCCATACGGATCTGGTTGGAGCTTCGTTCTACAACGACACCATCTTTTGGCTCCGCAATGACGGATCCGGTGCTTTTGGCAATCCCATCGTTCTATCAGACACTGCCGATGGAGCCATGGCAGTGCACCTGGCCGACCTGAACGGTGATGGTGCGCTGGACGTTATCGCGGCCAGTACCAACAACAATGCCGTGGTCTGGTTCCAAAACCAGGGCCACGCGCAATTTTCCAGCGCTCGAACAATTGACAACGAGGCGACCCTCGTGGAGGGTGTTGCCGCTGCGGATCTGAATGGTGACGGTGCCCTTGACATCGTCAGCGCACATCAAGGCAGTGGGACTGTCGCCTGGTACCAAAACCTGGGTGGCGGTGCCTTTGGTCCTGCACAGATTGTAACACAGAGCTTGACAGGCGCCTCGAGTGTTGCGGCGGCCGACCTTGATGCCGATGGTCACGTTGATCTTCTTGCAGCAAGCTACCAGAGCAACAGTATCCAGCTTTTCTGGAACCAGGGTCATGGCTCTTTCAACGCCACGCCTGCCGGCATGAACGTCCTATCCAATACCATCCGTGGGCCCCGCACCACCCTCCCCACGGACATTGACCAGGATGGACGCCTAGACGTACTCATCAGCAGCAACTTCGATGATATGGTGGCATGGTATCGCAATCAAGCCACGCAAAACTTTTCTCAACCACATGTCCTCATCCAGCGCAAATCTTTGGGACCTCGTATGGCGCTTCCCGTGGATGCAGATGGCGACGGTGATATGGATGTCTTGGTGCCCTGTCGCATGGCCAATGAACTGTTGTGGCTGGAAAACCGAGGGGCTGGCCACTTTGCAGGCCGGGTTGTAGTTGCCACTGATTTTGACGATGCCCAGGGCATGGCGGTGGTTGATGTCTGGGGCCATGGTGACCCCATTGTGGTCGGTATCAGCCCGCTAGAGAGTACAGCGCGTTTCTTTCAGCTGCAGACAGGTGGTCGGGTGACGCCGCTCACATCCATCGCCGCTCTCATGGACGCATGGTATGTAACCGCTGCAGACTTGAATAACGATGGCCGCGACGATCTGTTGATCGTGCTCAACAGCGCTGGTCGCGTGGTCTGGCTTCCCAACGGTGCCGACGGAGGGCTTTTGACGGCGTCGCCTTTGCCGGTGACCAACAACGCCTCGGGTGTTAGAAGTGCATGTGCTGTGGACGTGGATCAAGATGGTTGGCTTGATATTGTCACTTCGAGCGGGGACGCGTTTGGTCTTGGTCCTGCCTGGTATCGGAATGAGGGGAATGGCAGTTTTGCCGCTGCTCGCTTCTTGTCAGGTGGGACAACAGAAGCTGTCGCATGGGTCACGGCCACTGACCTCAGCGGTGATGGTTTACCTGACGTACTGAGTGCCAGCCCTACCGGCGCCGAGGTGGTATGGTTTCGCAATTACGGCAATGGCTCTTTGGCTGCCGCCCAGAAAATCGACATCCTTGATGGTGCTACGTGTGTGCAAGTGGCCGATCTCGACGCAGACGGCTGGCCAGACGTTTTGGCTGCTGGGTTGCATGCGGGCACTGTGCGCTGGTACCGCAACTTGGGCAACGCTACCTTTGGACCCGGTGTTTCCCTGGTTACGGAACTGTCTGGTGTACGCACAATCTTTGCGGCCGATATCGATGGTGATGGAGATCTTGATCTGGTCAGCGCCAGATATGCGCACCATGAGGTCACTTGGTACGCCAATCCTCTGCTCAACTACACTGGGTCGGTTCAGGAAGAAATTACGACGACGGGACCGGCAGTGAAAGCCGCGCCGTCCTCGAGCACTCCGGGTGCTGTGCTCGCGCCTCGTGCAAGCACGACCAGGCCTGCACTGGTGGGAGGCGTAGTGGGTGGCCTCGTATCCCTGCTCTTGCTGCTTGGCGTTGTCCTGTGGCTTCGTGGGCAACGGCGGCAGCCTCGAACATTAAGTTGGCGTCGTGGGACTGTCAATCCAGCACTGAGCAGCAACGCCACGCTGCCCATGTCCGCTGCAGAGCAGATTGAGCTCTGTCTGCACCAATTCCAGGCCCAGCTTGCTCGCTCCGCAGATGCCACCACCCTTTCCGGACCTGCGATGCCGTTGCCCCCCATGACCTTGGTTATGTTGTACGTGGCTGTTGCCCTCCCGTTGTTTTTCGTGTTTTTTTTTTGTGCTTTTGGCCATCGATCCTGTGGTGCTCTGCAATCTATGTTTGGTTTAACTCATTCGTGCCCCCCCCCCCCCCCCTTTTTTTTTCTTTCTTTCCTCTATCTTTCTTGTGGGTGTCTTGTCTGAATCTGATAGAAGCTGGATTCGAAAAGGCCAGCTTTTGGGGCAAGGCCACTTCGGCCAGGTTTTCAAGGTACCTGTTGCCGCTTACTTGTTCTGCACTCGTTTCTTAACTACCCGATGCCACGGTCTTAAACGTGTGAAGCTTTTCGACTTTGACCATCTTGTGTCCCCCATAACCCATACACAGGGACAGCCAGTGCAGCAAAAGGCAGGCCTTTTTGCCAGTGGCCAATCACCTGTGGCTCTTAAAACCTTTGAGAACATGGCGGTAGGATTTGGGATGTGTCGGTGGTTGTAGCATGGCCGAATGTCACAGGCGACCTGTCCCCACTGACTGGTATTAACGGCGTTGCTTCAATCATAGGTTGACGATGGCAAGAGCGTCCTGATGGAGGCGGCTTTGATGCACATGGCTGGGCGTCATCCGCACGTGGTGTCCTTGCTAGCCGTCGCGCGCGATTGGTACGGCTCGAGCCTGAGCTGCTTTCACGTGTTGGACCCGTGTCAAGTGCTGCCCTTTAGCTCACCAACATCACGTGTTGCATTAGCTGGCCCGTTGCGCTAGTACTGGAGTACGCCGATCAAGGCGACCTTCGCACGCATGTCCGCCGTCGGGCCAGCCACCTGCAGCTGGAGGATCAGGTGAGAATTGAATTGTATGATGCATGTTTGTAGCTCTGCATAGTCGATGATACCCCTGCCCGTGTGCTCACCATCTGCCAAATGTTTGAACCCTGTACGTCACCATGCCTGCCACAGCGAGCTTGGGTACAGCAGATTGTCAGTGGGCTCGCGCATGTTCATGCCTGTGGCTTGGTACACCGGGATCTGGCCTGCCGGAACGTACTGCTTTTTTCAACGCCCAACAGTGCCTGCCCCACAGCCAAGCTAGCGGATTTTGGGCGTAAGTGTCATGTTGCTAGTGTTCTTGGAAGGGTGCCAGCCCCCTGTGTTCGGTACAGGATAGGCTCACCGACTCCCTGATGGGTGTAGTATCCCGTTATGTCGCGAACCACGAGGCGTACTACCGGGCAGCAGATCTCGATAACCTCCCGTTTCGATGGATGGCACCCGAGGCGCTGCGCCATGGCCGCTTTTCCACGGCCTCTGATACCTGGGCTTTGGGTGTGACCATCTGGGAGGTGAGCGTCGGCTAAAGCAACCGAAACGCGACGCCAGCATGCCTTTGTTGTTGACATTTGGGTTGATTGGGCTTGATGCAGATATTTTCGGCTGGTCAGACACCATATGGCGCATTGTCGCTGTCACATGTGCTTGAGCTACTCAAGGCAGGAGGTCGACTCGAAACGGAAGCCCTTTCGCCAGATCTTCGCTCGTAAGGTTTCCTTTGGTGCAGAGTCTGGCACGGCTGCCTGCTTGCCCATGATTTTCAAGGAGGTTTTCCTCACCAAAAGTCATGTCGCCGCAGGCTGGTTTTGTCACTGTGGCGTTTGGCGCCTGAGCAGCGTCCCGACCTCGACCAGATTACCACGATGCTACAGTGCAAACCCCGTGATACCTGTTCAACGCCCTCCTTTCTGGCTCTGAACCCAGTCTTTGAGACCATGGACAGCGATGGGCTGCCGTATGGGGAAGAGGAGAGCAGCCTCTAATTCATCAACTACCGCAATCAGCTGCCAACATGATATCGACAGTAACCGCTGAATGTTCTACAACAAGTTGTTCTGCATCAAAATTAAAGTATTATACATATAACAAAATTACTGCATCAACTGTTCCACCACGAACACAAACCCCAAACCAAAACATCTCCACCCTCAAGAAGGCGACATCGCGATCAAAAGAGCAAAAGGCCTCAAGCGTCAGTCCGCTTGTGTGTGTGTGTGTGTGTGTGTGTGTGTGTGTTTCTCTCTCATGTTTTTCTCATGTGTGCAGTGGGCAGTGTGTGTGCAGTGGGCAGGAGCGGCGGCGGCAGGGAGATCAGGAAGAACAGGAACGGCAATAGGAACGGCAACAGGAACGGCAACAAGAACGGCAACAGGGACGGCAACAAGAACAACTGGGAGGATGAGGGACAAGTGTGGGGCCAGATGCGGCTGGCGCGGTGGTAGTGGTGTTGGATGGACCGTGTTGGGTTTGCTGGGCCTGTGCGTGGCTGTGGGTGTTGCTCAGAACGCGTCGCCGGCCTTGTCGACGAGCAACGGTGACGTGATTGTGGAGCTCAAGGCAGGCAAGGTGAGGCGATGCAGACCAGAGTATCGCCGCTTTGTTTATTGATTTAGGGTTTCTCTCTATCTCTCTGTTCATGTGCCGCCTTGACCACTCTCACCTGCGCTTGGTCGATCGCCGCCGTGGGACTGGCATGTGAAAACAAAAAAAAAAAAAAAAAAAACGCCATGGAATGCCGGCCATCCATACCACCCGGGCACGCACAAAAACACAGCGTCTGCTTGTGCATCAGGGTTCGACTCCACCTGTGGACATTTTGGCGGTCCTCAACTCCTTGCAATCCTCGCTGACCGAGGCCCACGCCACCATTCAGTCTTTGAATGAAACGGTTGTGGGATTACGCCAGGCAAGGCCAACATGACACACCTGCGCTTGAAAGGATGAATAACCCTTCAAGCATGTGTCAAATCGACCACTCACGTACTGTTGTTGTTGTTGTTGTTGTTGTTGTTGTTGTTGTTGTTGTTGTTGTTGTTGTTGTTGTTGTTGTTGTTGTTGTTGTTGTTGTTGTTGTTGTTTCTGCCCCTACTGGTTGTCTGGCTGGGGTACAGGAGTTGTCCGAGACCCGAGCCGACGCTACAACTGAGCACCAGGCCGTCAATGTGGGTCTTCAAGCCATCAACCAGCAACTGGCCACGCTGAACGGATCCACTCAGGCCTTGGGCAGCAGCGTCACGCACGTGAATGAGCGCGTGGATCAGGTCAACGCAAGCAGCCTGGTCTTGCAGAGTCATCTGACCCAAGCCGGTGGACAGATCACATCCTTGGACGCACGCGTGAACAATCTCAACTTGACCCTGATGGATGCAAGCGCACACCTTGCGAATCTCTCTTTGGTTAAGGTGAGTGGCCGAGTTTTGTTTTCTCTATTTGGCTCCCCGTCTCCAGTTGATCGTGCCGATTTGCCTGCTCTGCCGCAGGCGGACAAGGACACCGTGATTGAAGCCATTGCCCTGAGCTCCGACTCCGCCCGAGCCTACGCCGATGAGGTTGCGGCAGGTGTGTTGTTTCTATTCTAAAAAGGCTTTGGTTGTTGGCGCTATCACCACCGCAACCACGGATCTTCGTTCCATGCTCCCAATTTGATGCTTTCCCTCGCGTCCACCAGTACTTTTTGTCAATCTCATCATCCGCCATTTTGGTTGCACGTCTGATTATGGCAGATGTGAGCGCCGAGGCAGCTGCCGCCCGTCTGGATCTGCTCAACACCAGCGTGTACACTTCCTTAAACTCGCGCTTGTTGCAGTTGGAAGATACATTTGTAACCGAGGAGGACCTGGCTGAGGATCTCGACCAGGTCTTGATGGAAGTAGGCGAGACTCTTGATCGCAATCTCGAGTACGTCTATGGCAATCTCTCCCTCATCAATGCCACGTACGGTGGCTCGACCTTCCACGCCAATGCCGACAACATCCTCAAGTATGTACTCCCCTTCGTGCGGCGTTTGTCGAAACCACAGCCAAGTGTTGTTGCTTGACCCCCACGTCACGTTGCATTCCTGTGCGTTGTCCGTCATTCACGGCCATTTTGTCCACAACTGAGCAGCTGCTTCTCGCAAGGCTCCGTCTACGATGCTGACCTTGGCCGTTGCGTACCCACGTTTCTGCATCGTGGCTGTGTGGCTGATGGTCCTTTGGTTGCCAATGCTGCACCTGTCACGTGCGCCAACACGGCTTTTGGTGACACATGCACTGTACGTGCGCCACCCGCTCGTAGAAAATGCGGGCACTCCATTATGCTGCACCCGGCCTGCTCTCGTGACCTGACCCGACCTGACCTGTCTGTTGCTTAGATGAGCTGTGCATCTGGCTTCGAAGCCGCCAATACCGCTGAGTTTGAGTGTAACGAACTGGCTCAATGGGTTCCAACTTCGGGTAGCCCCTTGACCTGTACTGACATTAACGAGTGTGACACCGCGGGCACTTGCCCGCCCTCCTCAACCTGTGCCAATCTGCCGGGCACGTTTGAATGCCAGTGTGACGGGTTTACCATTGCTCCTACCGAAAAGGGCTGCTATGGTTTGTATGTTGAATTTTTGTCCACGCCAGAGAAGCTGCTCTTTGACTTTACTTCCCAGTGCCAAAAGATTGAGAAGACCGTTTCTGACAACATCCCCACCAACGCCGTTGCGGTGCTGGCATCGTTGACTACCTTCAATTCGCAACGCAACGACCACGTGGTGTACTCCCTCGGGCGCGACAACAGTGTCACTTGCTACTTTCACCACAACCAGGTCTACGAGGCCAACACGTACTTTAACGATGTCTTGCAAACGCAGAACGGCGATGCCGGAGGTGCGTCCGTGAAACCTGCGCACCCGGCTCTCTCTGTCCCACGTGGCTTGAGCATGTGCTTTTGTTCCTTTCGTCAGAGCTGCAATACACTCACAGACAGCTTGCTCCACCCTTGCACGGAACAGGTGCGCAATACTTTGGAGCCAACACTGGAACAGCCATTATTCCGCTCAACGGCCGAACGGTCAAGGGCCTTATTGATGGAGTGACGCAGGGAACCAACTACATGACGGTGTACATCTATGGCTATCTGACCGGCGCTGGGCGCTCAACCATCCTGGACGTGGACAAGGTCAACAACGTCCTCAGCAGCTCGACATCGGGCTTTGACCGCTATAGCATGAAGCCGATCAATCTCCCAGCCACGGGTGTGACGGGCTTGCTGACCACCACCACCACCTACGTCACCACTCTGGGGGATCACTACAATGTGGTCCTGGGCCGTGACTCCAATGTGCCCCAGAATTACAATGAGGCGCCCTACACTTCTACAAACAACTACTGGGGTGACAGTACCATCACCAGTGAGGGCGATCAATCCGAGGCCAAAAACTACTACGGCACTAGCTCCTTCCTGGTGCGATTCCATGCAGCCCCCTTGCTGTCAGACGTTCTCAGCTGTAAAAAGACACCTGTAACCCTCACCGCTGACATGCCTGGTCCGATATCTCTCTCCCTCTCTCTCTCTTCTCCCTCGCTTTTCGACCGCACTTTGTAGATGACGGCAAGCTCGGACGACGGTACGGTCCAGGTCAACAATGGCATGGGCTTTAACGGCGCAGGCACCATGTACCTGACCATGGCAGTGTTTGGCTACATTCCGGCCGAGCAATTCACCAACTTCCGCTGGGTCGACGTGTCGGCGTCCCGACCCATCAAGTTTGACATCAAAGGGCGCACCATTCAGACTGATATCCTGCCGCCCACAGCTACCGGTACGTACTACTCCTGACTAGAACAGCAGACAACAGAGCTTGGGGCAACTAATGGCTGTGTGCTTGCGCCGAATATAGGTGTTCCAACGAGTGCCAAGGGTTTGATTGTTTCTGCCTACACCTACGAGCCTCGAGGCAGCTCGGATCATGTCGTGCATACCTTTGGACGTAATGTACGCACCTTGTCTGGAGCTTGCTGTCCCAATCCTGGTACCGTAGGTCGGATGCGCTGATCTTCCTTCATCTTCGGGTGGTTTCTCTAGGCTAACCACGGCAGTGCATGGGATAACAATATCCATGACAACAACGATTACTACAATGACGTGCAGATTTCTCACGATGTATGTGCCCAAGAGTCATGGTGCTTGCCTGCGTTTTTGAAGTGTAGCTCATCTGCTGCGTGCTTGTCGCTTTTTTTTGTGTCAATAGGGTGAAAACGCAGCTGACTACTACTATGGCCACTGGCATGGCACGCATATCATTCCCCTCAAGGGAAATGGCGCCTTTGATGCCGTACTCTGTGATGGCGAGTCAACCCCAACTGTTTCACACTACGTGGTGCTTCAAGTTGTGGGCTACATTGCGGCTTGACCTCACTGGTAAAACATCTTGAGTTTTGAGTCAAGTGGCCGAACAGAGTCATCTGTAATCGTTAATGTCTGTGGGATGAGCAGGTCATGTGTGTTTCCGCCGTTGGAGCTTTCCTTAGCGCTGACCTTGTCGTTTGTCTGACGAGCTTGTACCCTTCTTTTTCGGGCAACAGTTCTCCCATTTTGTGTCCCGACGATTTGTGGAAAGCGCCTATACACACGAGCATAATTACAAAAGCTACCACAAACGAATTCATGTGAAAGTCTCCCCTTTGGAAAGTTGCGCGCACGGCCTGCGAGAGTGTGCAGTGGCTTGGGTTCGTTCAGGAAGGCAAGCCATAGCAAGGAAAAATAGAAGACACCACACGCACGCGCGTGTACCCTGCCATCAACCAAGATGAACGGATAGATATCGGATCTGACCCATAAAAGTTGTGAATTTTGAGGTAAAAACCCCAAAAATTAAAAAAAATTAAAAATTTGGAATTTTTTGATTTGAGGAGTCAAGCGAAGCGAGGTTTTGATTTCCAGAGTTGGAACGGCGCAGAGCACGGCTTGATGGCAGCACCGGCGACAAGCCCGTTGGTGGCTGGGGTAGTCGAGGGGTTACCGGCAGCTGCACAGACCAAACTGGCAGAGCAGCTGCAGAATCAAGCACTGGTAGGTCAATTTATGGCCGGCCAGCGCTCTGTTCGCGGCGTTGGTGCGCAAGTCAGTTCATGGGCCGTGCATGCTCCTTGACGTCTTCATTTAGCTGGAACTGGACGCTGCGCGCTGCCGCCTGAACGATACGAGTTTGCCGGCTGTTCTACAGCTGTTGCCACCTGTACGTGTGATGCTTGAGCTTTTGGTCACTTTTGGTCACTTTTGGTCACAACGAGCGACGCGCATTTTTATGGCCTCCCATCATCGTATGCTCTACATGCGGGCTGCTCGCAGAATGTCCACAGCTTGCAGCTTGACGGAAATCTTCTGACGGCCAAGGGCCTAGATTCCCTGGTACACCATCCGGCACCGATCTGCCAACTTTCCCAGTCATGTCTCTTACATTGCCAACGGCATGGGTCCGGTTACCGCTTGCGAGCTGATACCTCTTGCTGGCACTACCTCTGCGAAACAGGTCGCACACGAGCACGAGTGGAGGTCGCTGAGCCTTAGCTTTAACAAAATCCGCGCCGATGCCGCAGATAGCCTCACAGCGCGTGCGTAATCATCGCTGTCCCCCCTTGTGTCGCTTCCCTGAATCCTCTTGGCTGGAACACGTTGGCTACCACATCACACCGGACGTGTGCTATTTTTTGCAGTGCTAAAGCGCGAGTTGTTGGTTCTTGATATCTCCCATAACGCACTGGGAGATGAAGGTGCCTTTGTAGGTTTGCTTTTTGGCCTTCCTTGGATGCCCATTCTAGCCAGCAGTTGCTCTTTGACCCATGCGCCCAAAATCGTGATTGGTAGGGTCTTGCAGATGGGTTGCTCATGGGCGCGGCGTTGACACGGCTCGCATTGGCCAAAGCCCAGGTATGTGTATGTTTTGCCTTTCAGCCATCGCACCGAGCTGTACAGATGCTCATACCGGCCAACTCAACCCGCCTTCTTTTGCGGGCAGATTGGCGATCCTGGTGTGCTCGCCTTGTGTGAGGCCATGCCCGATACTCGCATCACACACTTGGATTTGAGCAGGCATGTTTTGCTGTACATGCAGCGATGCCCCCCCTCTCTCCCTTTATTTATGGAGCTGGGGGGTGTGGCCACACCAAGCTGGCGTCTGTGGCCAAAACAAATGCGGACGATGCTCATCATTTCCACTTGCTGCCGTTGCTCAGTAACCGATTTGGCGAGGAAGGCCTTGCTGCCATCCTCTCATTGCCACGCACCATGACCTCATTGCAATCGCTCACCTTGCGAAGCTGGTATGCCTCTGAGCTCGATATTGCCTGGATGCATGCGCCATTCATCGCCTCTTTGGGCATGGGTTCAAGATGACTGCCATGCGCTTGGCTTCTTGCTTTAGTGAAATCCGAAGCATTGACATTGAGCCGCTGGCCGCAACATTGCGCGACGGCTGCTCATTACAAACCCTTGGTTAGGGCAGCGGCGCTTTGTCATTGTTTTGCACGCACTCGACCGGCGCAAGGGTCGCTCATCTCTTCATCTTGACCGAACATCAATTGCTCAATTTAGATTTGCGGGGCAACCGTATCGGTGACAAGGGCTTTAGCCGATTGACGCAGGCATTGCAATCGGCTGCCACCAAGCTTCAATCACTCGACATGCAGGTGCGTGTGTTGGGGTTGGCACGCAATGTGGGAAACGACGAAGCTACAGATTCAGACGCACTCACTCGTACTCCCACGCACGGCTTGTGAGGTGAGCAGAAAAATGGCCTGACTGATGCAAGCATGCCGGGGCTGCTCGGTAAGTGAGAAACAGCATGCCTCGCCTCGAGGGTGCTGCAACCTGACCTGGCTGACGTTTTTGCGATTACGCCGCCGCCTTTTCCCCTTGCCACAGCCTGCCTTTGCACGGCCGGAGTCCAGCTGCACAACGTGAATCTGGCTAGCAATCCCGAGGTATGGTACAAAAAGCGATTCTTGTGTCTGGGGCTTGATGAGTCAGTCTTGTCCATCGCATTGATTCGGGGCGCCAGAGCTAGGCGTTGAAAAACTTTTTTTGGAGGGTCGATTACAGAGGCGATTCTCCCGACTTGAAACACATGTACTCACGTGGGCTGGACATGCTGACTCAAAGATTACAGAGACCAGCGAAGACCTGCTGATAGCTATTGCGGGACAGACCGCAAAGCTCCGAGCAGCTTTGCTCCAGCCGCCAAAGAAGGACACCACGGAGACCACATCAGCGCCTCAGGCGCACACGGGAAAGGATAAAAAAACAACTTCACAACAACAGCAAACGAGCCAAATTAATCAGCCCGGCACTCCCATCCTCGCAGAGGAACGCGCTTGCAGCTCAGCAGCTACCACCACCGTACCATCGCCAAGGCAACAGCAGACGGCAAGAGGGCGGCATTTGCGCTTGGATGATGCCCAAAGACCAGCTGACAACTCGGACAATGACGAGAGTCACGCTTAGGGTAGCCGGCTTAAGAAAGCTTGGTAGATTTGGTGACAGTGCGCTTGATACCACGGGTCTCGCCTCGGTAGACGGGCACCTCCGTGACAGCTTCCTGCACTTGGCCTTTGCGACGCTTCTGTGCGCGTTGGAATTTGTTGCGCTGTCGAACGCGGGGGTTGCGATATTCCTTTTTGCGCGCTGGCAATAGACCTGTACGCAACAAACAAAAATGAGTGGATTGACCTGATTCAATCGCAGACAAAACAAACCCAACAAACCTTTGTTCTTCATAATCTGATACGTGACGCTGCGCTGCTCAGCCGTGTCGTCCGTTCGCCCATCATCTTGGGGAAGCCTGTCGAGGGGTCAAGAGACACATGAGCAACTGGAGAACAACACACGGGCACAGTCGGAGCTAAAGCAAGCACAAACTAAACACGCACGTTTTGGCGAGCTTCTTAAGCTGCTTGTCTTCCAGCATTTGCGTGTAGTAGTCGTCGTGATCGCCCTCATCAGCAGAATCTCCAGAAAGGACAATATCTTCCGGAGCTGGTAGCTTGCCGCGCTTTGGCTTGGCTGTGACAGGTTTGGTGCCCGAACGCGACTTGAATACAGCTGCAGGTTCCTCTGCGACTTCTTCTTCTTCGTCTTCTTCTTCATTCTCGTCGATGGCATCGGTCGCTTCGTCCAGGGCTGCGAGCGCCTCTTGGAGAGACGGCAAGAGCACCTCATGCGCCTCGTGTGCTTCGGTCCACACCTGAGAGCACGTCATGAAATAAGCACAGCACTTGTACGGCAATACAGTCCAGAAGAAACAGAAACATGGCCCATGCCGAATTCATGATTCTCAGTCAAAGGAAGGAAATGTAGCAAACTGAATCCAACGCACAGCCACGAGGGCTGAAACGCATACACGGGACCCAACAAGCATGGTTCACAAGGAACCTTTGATCTTGCCACCTAACTTGCCCACCAGGCGTTTCGACTCTTGACGAAATGGGCCACGAGGACCCAAACGCCGGCAACACTGGCGGGTAATAGGGATGGCTGTAGAAAATTGAAGAAGAGACTTCAAACACGAGACACAACACAACACAACACACACGCTTTGAAACATGGAGAGAGAGCTTCACGCCGGAATACCCACCGTTTGTAAGCGGAGAAGAGAGGCTGCCACGGGGTGATGCTCCAACTCCTCGCGCGAACGGCGGCTCAACACGAGAAAGGAGACAATCGTGGCCATGTAGGCGTTGATAAGGGCCGAACGTTCGCTGACGTAGTTGACCAGGGCCTCAGGCAGACCCAGAGCCTCCAGACGAGCGACAGCCGCGTCTTCATCTTCAAAGTGAGACATCAACGGATCCAAAAGCTGCGTCTTTTCTGATTTCTATCCAACGGTAAAATCACGACACGAGAAGAAATGAGAGGCGGAAGCAAGCCAATTTGGCAGACATGCGATCCAATCACGTATGGTCAAGTGATTGAACTACAAACATACCAAGACATCAAAAAGACCAGCGAGCTTGCCAAGTTCAGGGCGAGTGCGTTGCAGATACTTGGTGCGCTCTTCAACAGACATGCTTTCCAAGTCGCGGGGCACTTCTTCGACGGCAGGGGCGGCCGCAAAGCGGGCCTTTGTGGCCTTCTTGGGGGTCTTGGCCCGGGCAGGCTTGAGGGACTCGACCTTGGATTGAAGCGAAGCGGGGACAAAGTCATCGTCCGCCAACGCCTGTGCCTTGCGGCGTTGCAGCATGAGGGCTTCTTCCTCTTCAGCGGCGGCATCGGCCTCATCTTGGGAGTCGGTACCGTAGTCAAGGTCCACGTAGTTGGTATCGTAAAAGTCGTCCTTGCTCCGGCCCCAGCCTTGAAGAGACTGCTGCATTTCCTCATCGTCCTTTGTCTTGTCGTCGCCGTAGAGGTCGTCCGTCTTCACTTTGCGTTTTTCCGGCTTGAAGCTGTTGAGGAAGAGTTCATTGATGCCATCATCAAAATCGTCCATGTCATCGTCATCCGCCGCGTCGTCGACGTCGTCGTCGTCGTCATCGTCCTCATCCGCAGAGTCGACGTCGTGCACCTTGAGACCCATTACATGGTCGGCCTCATCGTCATCGCTGTCCATGGGCATCGCGTCATCGTCGCCCAAAAGCACCTTCTCACGCGCGGCGTGAAAGGCGTCAATCTCGTCGTCCGATGTGCCGGCAACCTGTGACGTGGGGCATGGTTCGCAAAGTGAGGTTGCCAACCACGATAGCAGGTGACCAGCATGTGCATTTAAAAAAACAAAAAACCAAAAACTCACCGCATCCTGAACTTGACGGCCACGATTAACCTCCAACTTGGGCTCTGCCAAATCGTCAATGGCGTACTTGCCCTTGGACCTCCGCTTCTTCGGCATGATGCCCCGGTCACTGATCCCGTGAAGACAAATGCATGTGTGTGTGTGTGTGTGTGTGTGTGTGTGTGTGTGTGTGTGTGTGTGTGTGTGTGTGTGTGTGTGTGTGTGTGTGTGTGTGTGTGTGGCCACGCTGTCCACCACGAGGGTCAACGACAAAGTGCGTCAAACAACACACTATCGCATTTCCAATTTTTTAGGCGGAGGTAGAAAGTAAAATACATTATTGCGCCGTTTCGGCAACTCTCTCTCTCGTGTGTGTGTGTGTGTGTGTGTGTGTGTGTGTGTGTGACTTGCACTTTACGATCTCTTCTCTCTTCTCTCTCTCTCTCTCGCTCTCTCTCTCTCGCTCTGGTGAGTGGTGTGCGCGCTCGCTTGTGTCGGGCGTGTTGTGTGCCTGGCGGGGGGTGGTGGGAAAGGGCAGAGGCACCTTGTTGGTGCCCGAGGGAGGGCGGAAAGGGGAGCCATTGAGAGATCAAAGTATAGATTGAACCGCGTGTGGTTCATCGGTCAAGGAACAGATGGAATCAGTGACAGTGACAAGCAGGACCGGGATCGCTCACGCTGGCTTTGTTGCAAGCAGACTCTTGGAGACGCCAGAATGGCTTTCGGCAAGATGACGATGGTGGCCTTGGCGGCCCTGGTGGCCCTGGTGTCGGCTGCCTCGTATACTCACCACCATCTCTATGCTCCCATGGACCCGGAATGCAATCCTTGCACGCCTCAGATTGGTTCGTTATCGCCCCCCCCCGTTCCTGCCACGTTTCCCGCCACACCATCTGGTCGTCTCATCTGCATCTGCCATTGCGTCCTCAATTTCGGTGGCTTGGGACCTGGGCTTTCTGCCTCGCCACTTTGAATCGGTGTAGACAATCACACAACCATCGAGCCTGTACGTCGCAACTGATTAAGGAATGGCCTCAACCGAGTCACCGCTCACCACGAAAACGCTGTTTTGACACAGGTGCCGGGACTTCGCGCGACTGTTGAGATCATCGCCGATTACGGCAGCTGCTCCGTATGTCGCAGACCGTCTCTTCTTCTCGTCGATTCTGACTACCCTTGCGCTTTGCGGAATGGCTGGGCATATCTTGCTGGCTTGTTTTACAGCTTTGTCCTTCTGCTGCACACCAATCCCTTCTCACTGACATCTCATTCCTTAGCCCGCTTTCAACTCGTACCAATGGCGCGTGTCCTGGGGTGACGGCGTTGAGAGCATCAAGAACATCTCCTACCTCAGCCCGGAGCAAGCCCAATACACTTGTATGTCTACTTATACCGTCCAGTTGACCTCGGCCCTGCCTGTCACTTCCAGTTGTTGCCGTTTGTGCCTCTCCCTTTGCGCCTCACATCAATGACGCACGCCTCATGTCATTAGACCAAGCGCCCGGTACCTACAATGTCTCGGTGGCCTACTGCGCCTATCCTCAGTACTGCTGCTTGGTAGGCGGTCGGCGGTCTACTCTTGTTGTTTTGACGCACATTCCAACTCACACCTCCTTGCTTGTCCGTCCGGGTAGAGCTGCACCTACCTTTCCAAGGTGCTGACCATCTCCGGTTGAGTCGCGCTCCTTTTTTTTTCGCTTTTTCGCGTCCTCGATCTGTTCTGCCTTTTCCATTTGTTTGATAATGTGCCTGTCCACCAGATGCTTCGCCCCTTGTTACTTCCCGTGCTCCCCCGAGGAGCTTGGCTTGGCGCAAGCTCTTGCTGAAATTGAATGTGTCATGCAAACTTGGGCCTGGTGTTCATCGAGCCCGTGGCCCGTCATGGCCTTACACCAGCCATTGGGGCCAGCTCTTAAACGTGCAAGACATGTGTTTCACCTTGGTAGACATCGATTGACATCCACCATTCCTCGGGGTTGCCAGCTCAGCTGGCAATCGCAATAGGCCTAGCACCAGGACGGGACCAGCGGCGCACCAACACATCCAACAAACGCTCATACACCAAAAACATAAAAGCTGTCATGGACAAGGTCTGCAGCAATTTGGCGTCGAGACCCCGCCATAAGCCTCGAAAGCCTTCAATGTGTCGGCACGGGTACAAAGTCATGAGTACAGCTTCTAGCAGCAAACTTTAGCCGCCCCACGGGCAAAGCAAACGCATGCACCTTCTCAGGCGATACAGCAACGTGTGCGAATCCAGAGTCCCAAACGAACCATCTGAACGCAAGATCGTCTGAAGTTCCTGAAGCATGTCTTCGAGTGGACTACAGAACAAATTTTCAAGTGTTGGGTCTGGACGCCGTACGAGCAAGGTGAAACGAGTTGTGCCTTCGTACCGAGAAGAGGGAGCAAGGCCCGCATCTTGTCGAATTTTGCTTTGACGACGCAGTCTATAGAGAGTGGGTTTGCTTCATGTTAAGAAAAGCGCTGACATCGGGGCTGCGGCCAAGGGTCAAATGGGGAGCAAAAGTTGATAGGGGTGAATGGCTGCAAATGAGGCGAGGACAGACCGGTTCTGCAGGAGCTGGAGTGGGTACGTCAAGAGCGTGCTCAAGGCTTTGGCAATGACGCTGTGTACAAGTACCAGTCCCGAGCGAGCCGGCGTGCCTGCAATTGGGAACAGACTCTTCAGCCGATCATAAATGGCAAACTAGTCTCAAATCGGGCGCGAGGCATGGGTGAGCCAGCGTGAGCATCGAGCAACATGATGACAAGGCGTTTGGCTTCGTACTTGCAGGGCTGGGTTCAAGACCAAAACCATGGCGGGCACCATGCCTCGCCACAGGGCATGGACACCCTCTAATAGAAGAAAGAAAAGAGCGGACGCGTTGCAGGTACCGGTCAGACTGTTGAAATGAGGCAGGAAACGTGTGGCATTCTATGTGGTCCATACCTTCGCGAGCGATTCGGCACAATGCTTGGGGCATGGATTCGGGTGCTATGGTACGGCGGCGGCGGCGGCGGCGACAACACGTTTGCCAAGTCAATGAGAAGGTGAAAGAAAAGGCAGAGGAGTCAGTTCACATAAGGGAATGGCTGCTGATGGTGGCTGACAGTGGGAGAAGCGGAGGCGCATGTTGGTGACCCAGAGCGGGGTTGTGGTGATGACGTTTCTGCGCGAGATTGCCACGGGTGCGACGAAGATAATTTAATATGCATGGAGCACGGAAGTTGCGTGAGACACGGATGAGCGAGTGGCGATCGAGCAAAAGGTCTATGTCACAAGATGGAGTGAGCCAGCGTACATCAAACCGGCCACGATGCCTGCCAGAAGCGCCGCCGGTGCGGGAATCTCGCACTGTAGCTGCCATGGGCCATCAAATAAACAAGGTGGAAAAAGGCAAGTGCAGATGAATATGATGGCTTGGAACATGGGCGCGCTGGATGGACTGGTTCATGCCAGCGGACCTACGCGGAGGAAGAGGCGCAGACAGTATTTGACGAGGGAGTAGGAGGAGAAATAGACGAAATTGGAGGCGGCGAGGCACACTAGCATGCTACCCAATCCTCTGTAGAGCGCCTTCCAGCCGTGGTCCTGAGAGTAGCGGCGCAGGGCGGCGAGTGTGTGCAGCTGGCCATACGCTTGCTCCGTCTAGCACGTCGAGGTGCACAGTGAGATGTCAGTGCTTGCGATGCGCCGCACACACACCACTCGCACGGCCGCACCTGAATGACTGAGCGGATGAGGTCCAATGGATAAAATGCAGTCATGGCTGTCATGCCCCCAGCGGCTCCTGTCAAGCCCTGCAACAGGACGCCAAGTGCAGATGATGCAGATGATGCCGCTGGGCGTGACGGCACCGATGTCGACGCCCGCATGTTGCTGGATTTGAAATGTTTTCGGACGTGAAAAAGTGCGTGACACTTTTTCTGTGTGTGTGTGTGTGTGTGTGTGTGTGTGTGTGTGTGTGTGTGTGTGTGTGTGTGTGTGTGTGTGTGTGTGTGTGTGTGTGTGTGTGTGTGTGTGTGTGTGTGTGTGTGTGTGTGTGTGTGTGTGTGTGACTGCTGTTGGCGGCCATGTGGATGTATTTCTTCTCATTAGATTCTTCTTCTATCAGCAACTCATCGAGGGAGAGGGGGAAAGAGGTGGGGTGGGGCGGGGCGAAGTGGGAAAAACGGCTCAGTACACATGGCCGCAGTGGCTGCTACATCTCCGAAAGGTCGTGTTGGGGACCTTTTTTTTTTAATACATTGCAATGCCCCAGATATAGCTGAGACCGCCATATACGAGGGCGGGGTACAACAGATACTTGCGCCCTAATCGCAAATAGGTGTGGAGCGTCAGGATCGGTGGGGGGCACGAGCAGCAAGCTACACGCTACAAGACTTACCTGATGCCGTGCCGTAGGCCAGTGCAACGGTGGCCGCATACACAGCCTAGGGGTATGGCATCCAGCGTGGGAGTGATGAGCGTAGCTAGGTCACGCTCTGCAAGACGACATTATCCCGACGGCGACTACACGGACGAACAATTCAGCCTACTCACCACGTCCATAAGCGTTTCGACGCCACCAAACGTAAATCGCCGCGGGGCGTCTTCCCCTTGTATCATCGGGCACACCCAGCAAGGTGAGTGCAAATGGTGACGGCGCTTGTGAGCGAGGCGAGAGGGGAGAGGAGAGAGAGAGAGAGAGAGAGAGAGAGAGAGAGAGAGAGAGAGAGAGAGAGA